AAATAAATACAATGTGTCATGTTTTGGATATTTACTTTTGCTTACTTGTTTTATTATTATGTTAATACTAGATTGCCTGTCTTTTTAAATGGGAACATGGTCAGTAGCACACTGAAGAAGGCATTATGCCGATACGGGTCTGTGTTGGGTGAAGACTTATAATAAAATTGTATTGAAACAAAGTGGGACCTCTTTAGGTTCTACATTTATCAAATAAAAATAATAAAATAATATATAACTACAGCAGCTGTGACACTCAGAGTGGAACATCAGTGTTTTCAGTGTGACTGTGTCCTCTGCTGTTCAAACAAGTACAATGTAATTTGCAACAAAGATAACAGAACACAACTGTCCTAGTGAAATAACAATGTAATATCCTGGTAGATATTGTCATAATCCCTTCGATGGTCTTTTTTCTAAATCGCAATATTGCAAAAAGAGGCGTTCTTTAGATCAAATCTTGTTCTCCTTTGAGACACCAGTGACCATCATGACCACCCCCATGTGAAGCAAATACAGACAATCCTGCAGTAAATAACATCATAAGTAAATCATTTCTAAATGTCTTGTTTTTAAATGTTTTAAAATATGATATATCGTTACATCCCTATTGGTTAGTGATGAGGTCGGCCCCTCAGTATGAATTATGACCCCTCTCTTGCCCTCCTTAAAAATCCCTAGATCCACTTTATTACATTAATTCAGCACTGGTACATTTAAATGTACTTTATTTCTTTGATTTTGTGCATCTAAATATTATCTGAACTTAAATGCACATTGACATAATTTGATGGTCCCTTAAGTGAATCAGCAGAATTAATTTGTAAAATATAAAACTGAAGTTATATTGGGCAAAGAAACAAATGAAGAATGAAAATAGTGGACTTCATCCCTTGGGACTATGATGCTTCACCATCAGAGATGAGCTCATAATCAAGCTCTGGGACATTTTAATAGAAGCCCCAGCCTAACATGGTCTCCACGATCTATCATCATGTGACCTTGATGTCACTCATAGATCGCTGTGCTCATGTCACAATTCTGCTCTTGTATTAAACAGGTTGCAGGAACGTCTCTGAAATTAACAGGAACCTCATTCAGTTCTCGAAACTCTGACTTCTGACAGCAGGGGGATCGACAGGGCGAGTCACGCCAACTTTTATACACATCCAGAAATTCATATACTGTCATCCAGGACTTTAAAGTAGTAATGTTTAAATTAATATTCAAGGCTATCAGAAGAATGCCCATCACATGATGTAAAGCAGACATGGTTTCAGGCCTGTGGTATCTACATATAACTGTCATCATGAGCCTTTCCATTAAATCAAATTATTCTGTAAAAAATTGTTACTTTTTCTTCAAGGCATCCTTACTTCAAGGAATCTTAAAAAGGCAGACTGTGTGATACTCATTTGATTTCTTAATATTGACGGGCCTCCCAGTATAGTATCAGCAAGTGAGGGTAACGGCACCTGAAAGCCTGTCTGCTGTAGCAGGATGTAGCTGAGGGTACAGGGAGTGGTATGTGTAGGTGGTCTGAAGGCAAGGGGTGGTGGGTGGGGTGGTCCTCACCAGGAGAATATCTCTAGATGGTCTTCATGTTTGTCTGAAAATGTGAAAAAGTCCGGTGATTTGAAAGCAACAAGAGCAACAAGTATGATGAAGGACCTTACCACACTGGCGATACTACAGCAGCATTCCTGGGTCAATTTTGGACCTTTTATGGTAAAAAAAAAATTGGCTGAAGGGTGTGACAGAATCCTTGTTTCATCTCAGGGAAGCACTGACAACCAAGTTGCACAAGGCACAACTAAACTAGACCTAAACCTTAATGTAATCCCATTTTAACCAATTAAAGGAGATATTTATGAACAAAACTGATGTCTGTGTTGTGATCAGCCACTACATACATTTATCAGACCTAGCTAAAAATCATTAAGAATCAGGCCAAATCATAGGACTTTCAGTAGCCTACCCATAAACACCCAAACACTGTATCGACAGATATAGAGGTCTACACCCATTACTCACCTGCTTCATTACAAAAAAGGGCAATATAGTTGGTAATGCTTTACACTGTCATAATGCCTTTATAATGCATTTGTAAAGCATTCATAGAACATTCATAATGCGTTCATAGAACATTCATAAGCAGCATGTTAGTATACACTGTAGTAAAAAAAAGAAGAAATTCTAGCAGTAGGGGTGGCGTAAAAAAAACTGAACCGCCGTACAATTGATAACAGTAAAAAATGTTAAATAACATTTCTTACCATTACTATAAATATAAATTATATTATGTAAAACAGGGGTGGGGAACCTGTTCCATGGCGGGCCGACTGATTGAGAAGCCATCCCAAAAACCTGCACCCACACCGGCCCTCCATGGATCAGGTTCCCCACCCCTGATGTAAAATAACATATAAGCTTAGTATTTTCTAAGAAAATTGTTTTCATGGTACAAAGAAAGCAATGCTAAGTTTCACCAAAATCTGTCAATGTTCAGACTGAAGCAGGTAAAAAACAGATCATCACTGGAAGAATACTAAAAAGTATTTGGAATTTAAGCAATTCCATGATAAAAATACAAATAAAAGCTTGTAAATTACCAGAATGTAACTGCTGTATCACAAAAAATTGCAGCAATATAAAAATAGATCACTGTAATGTGATGATAATAAAATGCTTTTTAATATACAATGTACTGATGAATTAACGTTTTATATATATAAAGACAGTATAAACTTTTTAAAAGATGGCAAAATACTTCTTTTGTGCAAATAACTGCAGTTATTTTACAAATATTTACTGGAGATTTATATTTTTAAATGTTTTTTTTTTGTGAAATTAATGACACATTACACAGATATTCAGTTGTGTCCTGTTTAGGCCACTTAAAATTAATAAATTGTTTTACATGGCCGCCCGCCTCAATTTTTTGGTGCCGCCTCGATTTTTTTATATATTTTATATTTTTCAAAAAATCC